GAATATTTCAAGCAGAGCTTATGGATTTAGGCTAAATGATTCAACGAAGTATTACAATGAAATTTTGTTGCTATAAAAATCTTTTTAATTAGTTCTCTACATTTAATATCACTACTAAAATAATATTTAATCTGCTTACAGATTTAGTGCCAGTTAATTGTATTTATAAAACTTTATTAGTAATGCAAAGCAATTTTAGTTTGGGATAAATAAATCTTTTTTTTAATATTTTTAATTCTCATGGGCTCCACATTTGTGATGCCACTCAGAAGAGAATTGAGGACAATGATTTTTATTTAAACTTTTTCGGTTGGTTTGTTGACTTTGTAAAAAAAAAAAAAGAGACTTAAATAATAGTTCTCATGATAAATTTTATTGTCAGGGATTCCACATGGACACACCGGTCACGTGCGCTTCTTGACGTGCGTGGAGATGACACCAGGTGCTTCAATGGATGCCTCTGGATGTGCCAAATACATACATCGCTCAATCCGCAGTAAGGAGGGTGCAGCATCTCGTCGGATGTCCTCCACCACATCCACAGGGTGTCGTCTACTTGTGATAAGTGGGGGCGATGGTTATGAGGACTTTTGTCACTCTGGACTAAGCGAAACGGCGGGGCGTGATGACAGTACCAATCACTTACTCTTGTGGCAGGTGTAGATTGTAACTACAGGGAAAAGCTGTGCCTTGGTTTTAGTTGAACTGCGTACTGATATATCTAGATAGTGGGTTTGCCACTCGTTCTTGTGCCCAGACACAATCGAAACAGTTGGTCGCAAATATAAACTTTTTGTGAGTGCGTGACGACTGTTTCAAGCTCCATAATTTTGCCATATACCCAATGAATGGTCAGTTATTTTAAAACAATGAAATGCGTTGTCATCTGAAGAGAAACTAATTTTAATGCTCGTGTTGTCTTCGAAGTGTGAGTGTTTCCTATTGGAATTCATAAACTCACAGAGTGGTTTGGATAATGATAACATATTACTACAAAAACAACCTAGCTATATTCTTAATGAATGCTTTGGTTGTGTTTCTAATATATGATCAAGGAACCATTTCTTAACTTCAATATTTTTATCCTCCCTTGTACACTTCACTTGTTTTTGGTAAGGAAAATGGAACAGTTCGTAACAACTTTCATAAATGTATATCACAACTTTGCTTCTTAACAATTTCGAACATTTGTAAGGAAAGTTGGTGGTTGCTGTTTGACAGTATTCTGATAAGTATTGCAATGAAATGTTGGCAATGTTAGTCAAAATCAATTCCAGAGTTAAAAAAAAACATTTCAATTTATTTAGCTGCTTGTAACCTGAGGTTAGGTCTCGATAGGCAATATAGTCGAAAAGGTTAAGAAGCTGTAATTATAAGTTCAACACGTCAACTCTTTTAAGAGATGTTTGTTTTGTCAAAGAAGCAAACATTTTCCTAGCGTTAACCTTTTCTTTCTCTAAAATATTCGTAAGCAAACCGTCTTTTTCTCATTTAAATGATCAGCAATTTTCACTAGTCATAAATTTCTCTGAAGATGATCAATACTTGTTTAGTTATAGTATTTAAGAAGAAACAGTTAGTTAGCCTAAAGTACGAAGCAATATGTATGTAATATATATATATATATTAGGGTTATACGTATCATTGACCTTTCTGTTAAAGTAACGAGTACGAAGCCATCATTCTGGTGAAACGTTGTTCTGAAAAGAGGCTGAGTGATTGAAAAGAAACTGCAACTTCTCGCAGTAATTGATAATTTTTGTGATTCAAATGATTCGTAAAACGTATAATTTTTAGATGAAGTCGCATCTCATTTTTCACAGTTTTTGTTTAATTTCAAGTTCTTATGAGTTTGGTTTATTTATGCTTAGAAAGACCCTCGTTAGGTTTCCAATATTTTTTTACCTGTTTTGAAAATGTCGTAAAGGAAAATTCTAGACTTTTAAAGCAGGTGACAATGTCGTTACGTAATGTATTTTACGTTACTTAGAAATACTAAACCGGTGAAGAAAAGTTGTTGATAGATGTTTGTTACTTTCAATTGCTCTTATGGTTGAACTTTGAGAAATGCTCCCATAATATAGTAAAAAGTAATCTATAACTTAATGTGATATTATCAGGAATATCATATTTAACAATATTTCGATTATAAATGTGTGGTGAAACCGAGATAGCAAAGCACTATATTTATATGAAATTTTATACGAAGGTAAACCACCAACTCTTTATACGGAGATAAACCTGAGAATTACATAACCAACTTTAGATGAAGAGAAATGATAATTTGTTTCTGACGGCGATCATTTGGCTGAAATGTTAATCAGACCTACTCCTTCCAATATTTCTAAAAAAATTTATTTTTTTATTTTGAGATTTTCCCCACTCCATAGTTCCGTTTGTTTTTAACAATCAACAATAAGTTAGGCTTAGAGAAGACACAATGTTAGGCTTAGAGATGGACACGATGTTAGGCTTAGAGATGGACACGATGTTAGGCTTAGAGATGGAAACAATGTTAGTCTTAGAGATGGACACAATGTTAAGCTTAAAGATGGATACGATGTTAGGCTTAGAGATGGACAGGATGGTAAACAATCATTGAACGTGTTTTTTAGATACTGAAAAATTAACATTACAGCTGCTGTATCTCATTCTATATTCTCTTTATATATATATATAGAGAGAGAGAGAGAAAGAGAGATAGAATATATAAATATTTTAGTTTCTGGACTTCAAGTAACAAACATTTTCACTGACTTGATCTTGGAAATCAAACAACCTCGTTGAAGTTGTATTGAAATGACAGGTTAATATGAAATAGTGACCATTGGTTTCTTATGAAAATAAAGAATAAACATGATTCTAATAGAAAGTTTTGTAAGTTATCAAAGTTTAGAATGTAACCACTTCAAGAATCCAATATTTTATATAAAAAGTAGAACCACTGTTCCGAGATTTCTTTTAATAACCTTGTTCCTTGCAGTATTTTAATATTTTTTTAACAACAAATAATTTTATTGGAAAACTATTCATACAAAGACAACAAATAGTGCGGGACAGCCTACCGTAGTAGACACGTTGTTTATGACTAAGTTCGTGTATATTTATAGGGTGACCCAAAAGCTAGTTACTCTAAAGCAGTATACTAATTCCTTGAAAATTTTATCTGTTTCAGATTAATATACAAGTGTATGTGAACAGTGCTTAAGTATGATTCTCAGAATGATAAAGAACCAACGAGTCTTGTTGCTGGAAGTCATATGTTGTCCACACAGAAGAAAAGGCCTAAGTGTTAGACAACAAAGTTTCGGACTCTTCTGAATATATACTGTTATCTTACTTCTTTCTGTGTGTTTATTGTTATGTTTAACTTCAGTAACCGGCTAACAGAACTTTGAGAAGACGATAGCAAATTGTTAGTTTCCCTTAAAAAATATAAGAATAATAATTCCAATGTTTGTATTATTTTGTCGATTAATTTTCAATAAGTAATTACAGTTTATTAAACAATAGCCTCGCTGGGTTGTAATTTGGAAAGAACATGCAGAAGTACATTATATGAGTTATAGCGCAAAGGTTTGTCTTCGCTCTAACGTTTGATCAGTTTATAGTAGACAGACGTGTTAAAAAAAGTAAGTTTTTATTTGTATGTGTTATGTCAAAGCCATAGGGCTTTCTGCTGTGTCCACCATGGGGAATCGAACCCTGGATATTAGCGATGTAAGTGCGTAGACTAAACGTTGTCCCACCGGGGGACCATACAAATTAAGAGCAAAATAAACATGAACCTCTCAAAATTGATTTATCTGCTGAATTAAGACTAGCTATCAGGTTTACATATAAAGCAATATAGATTTGTGTTTCGATTTCTGTCGCCATATTTAGCTAACGAAATGCTGATATAAATTGACAGTAGGTCTATGTTTATTAGGCGTGCATTTTTTGCAGGAATTATTTCAATAAATGTTAAAAGTACATAAGCTAAAAATAAATTTTCACTTGACAACACCAGCACGACATTTTATATAAGGTGAGGTTGATACAACAGTAGAGATGTGCAAATAGTGAAACAAGCGTGTCGTTGAGACGTCATGTGCGTGAACAAAGATCTATTTAAAGTCTATGTATTCTTGAAACTATACAAGAAATGTGTCACGGTAATGCTTCTACATTACTATGAAAACTTTTTGGTATATATTTATAGCAAAGTTATGAAGTTTTCTAAAGTTATCTCTTTCGGCTACAATATTTGAGGTAATTTATTAGATATCAGTACATAATTAAACCTTGCCTAGTTTAATATTTATTACACCTTTTCTTAGATTATTTTTGTCAGCGTTAAACGGAGCTTTAAAATGTTTTACTTAGTACATACAAAATGTTTATGTCTTCACCTTGATTTGCACATTCTTATGCCTGTTCTCGTTGTATGCACTGTTTTGCTTTAGAGGTTAAGAAGTTTTGTTGTTACTCACGTTGTCTTCACAAGAAAGGTCTGTCACTAAAGTATCAAGTTTTTCTAATGCAGTGATTTGTATTGAATATCATGATAAACACGGAACCGTCAAGGTAAACTTGAGTAGCCTAGTATCTTGTGTGATTGTTTCTAATGCAGTTAATTGCATTAAATATCATGATAAACAAGAACCATTAAGGTAAACTTGAGTAGCCTAGTATATTGTGTGATTGTTTCTAATGCAGTTAATTGCATTAAATATCATGATAAACAAGAACCATTAAGGTAAACTTGAGTAGCCTAGTATCTTGTGTGATTGTTTCTAATGCAGTTAATTGCATTAAATATCATGATAAACAAGAACCATTAAGGTAAACTTGAGTATCCTAGTATCTTGTGTGATTCAAATTCTGCATTACTTTATAAATTCTTGTAACTAACGTTATATTGTAATGAAGAATGGGGCGAGACAAATACAGATAAAAAAACGTGTATAGAATTAGAAAGTGCCTGTCATCTGGTACTAAAAGATATGTTCTACAAGATATTTGAAATGAATACAATATACTAAATTCATGGAATAATTAAGACTAAATGACTAATTGCAATTTGTTTGTTTTTGTGGCTTACGTAGATTTTTATCCAATCACAAGTTAGTGTTGTGTAATTCTGTGAAAAATATCCACTGTTATGTATCTCCAACCAATTACAAGTTAGTGTTGTGTAAGTTTGTGAAAAATAATCACTGTTATGTATCTCCATCCAATCACAAGTTAGTGTTGTGTGATCTGTGAAAAATATTCACTGTTATGTATCTCCATCCAATCACAATATATTTTTGTGCATCTCCATCTAATCACAAGTTTAATGTTGTGTAAGCCTGTGAAAAAGAATCACTATTATGTATTTCCATCTAATCACAAGTTAGTTTTGTGTAATTCTTTGAAAAGTGATCACCATGACATATCTGTTATCTCCAGCTTGTTGTTAAATTTCACCAGATTTTGAAAAGAAGAGAGAGCAGAGCTTTGATATGTATCTTTCCCTGAAGTGTATGGACGTAGTGTTGGAACAGTATTAGTGTATATTTATCAATATAAGGAGTACAGACACATTTAATGGCGTAGCTGTATACATCACAGAATTGGCGATACTGTGAAATCCATCCCATTTTTGGGTGCCTTTGAAGGTGTCCTTAAAAATTTGTTTTCTACATACACCCTTAATCGGCCTGTGCTTTACAGTTATAATGTCGTCACTTCTTGTAAAAAATAGTGATCAGAAATATAAATGGTAAATTTGTGTTCAATAGTGATGTGCCATACACTTGCTGATAACACTTCGTTACCCCTATTATGTATAGATACACCTATATATATATAGTCTTTGTTATTGACTTATTGGAAGTGAACTTCTGTCTCGGGTTTCTAAATTCAGTACTTTACATGACAAAAGAATGGTGGTTAAAACTGATAAGGTTATTTTCGCTATAAATAAACTACAAACAAACCTGCTAAGTAATATGTGTCTGTTTGTATCTCTTTGTCTTCTTTTTTTATGACAATGCATGTGTATCAATGTATCTGGTCATTTTGAAACTCAGATCTCACACCAACGGCATTTGCCTTCTGTAAAACATTTAAATATTTCCAAAAAATTATATAACAGTATGATCTATTCAGAGTTTAAAATGTTGAGTGTTAGAAAGCATTTGAGGGAAAAAAAACAAAAACAAACTGAAATATCTAATTTCACCTTGTTTATTTTAAACAACGCCGGCGTGGCCCAGAAGTTAACGTGCACAGGCATGTAAATTCAAAGGTTCATGATTCATCCATTGCCGAAAAAAAAATACGTTCCGTACTTTGGGGCCGTGGGTGCGCTATAAGAGTGATGGTTAAGTCCTACTATTCGGTTATACAAGGTTGGCTTAAGAGTTAGCAGAGAGTGCTGTTGACTAGTCCCTCAGCTCAAAATTATAGACGGCTATGCGCAAATAGCCATCATCTAGCTTTTGCACAAAACTTCTGAAACAAAGAAACTACTTTAGGCAATTGAATTTGGCAAAATAGTTTTAATACTGGCATTTACTATTATGAACCTCAAGGAACTGGAGGTACCATTTTTTTATATCTGTCAGCTTCTACAAAAACTCGTAAATATAATATCATTATCTCAGACTAAACTTCCAATTGTTTTTTGCCCCAAACAACTTACTTCCTAGCTTCTGTTTCTCACAACTTATTAATCCTAATTACACTTGCACTGTGGTACAGAGCTTTTGTATTGTTTACACATCGACACTTGTTTTTTCTCTAGTAAATTTTTTCTTTTTCCTACAAGACTAACTTTCATTATTTTGAGAGATCTTTGTAAAGATTGAACAAAAATTTTAGTTGTTAATTAAAATGTTTGGAAGATTTGTTCTACCTTATAAGAAAGATGTCCCAGGTCCAGTGTCGATGAGTTACCAGTTAATAAGGAGACTTACACTTAGAAACAGTTTTATTTATAAAATCCTATAATTTATTTACATTCCGCCAGATGTCACACAAAAGCGAGGCATCAGGAATTATCACTGTATTGTTAAGAGTTCAAAACACACAAATGAACAAATATAGAAAGACTAACAAATAGAACTTTTCAAGGAACGAGTTCTCATTTTGTTTTCGCTCAACATTTCTAATGAAATAATAGTTATGACTGTCAGTTTGTTTGTTGTTAAAAGCAAAGCTACGCAATACAATACTTGTGCTGTGCTCACCACACGTATGGAAACCCGATTTTTAGCGTTATAAGTCCACAGCCATTGGGAGGAAGGCATGACTTTAAATGCTTAAATGTTTTTACCAATATAAATTACACTTGATGAACTTCGGGAGTTTTAAAACATAGTAAATACAAATCTGGAAACAGATGTATTGTGTGTTAGTAAGAAACTGAACAAAATCACAAGGTAATTAAGAGTAAACGCCAATTCAAATATGTATATTCAGGCCAATCTAATGGCCTTCCACCCGCTGAAATGCCCCGAATTAAATGAAATCCAAATTAAGTAATTTGTGTTATGGTGAACAATATTGAAAATTATAAGTACCTCTTTATAGCATTTTGTGTTTTTATATAAATGGAAGGACGGAACTGAGGTAAGACAACTACAAATTATAACTAGATTCCAAGTACTAGTTAGCCTAAAATCATGGAAAAAAATAATTTATCGAGGTTTAGGTTGATTTAGGCGACATCTATAGAAAGCTTAGTAAATTAAGTAATTTGTTCGAATAAGTTTTGCACTGAACAGACAAAAAATATCAAACCATGAGAACCTAATGAAAAGAAAATTATCTTAAAGACACTGATTTTGGAATTCTGCAAGATTGGGAATTTTTTTTTATTTTCTAAAATATATTATAATAATATTCAGTTTTTGTCTGTCCTGAAAATGCGCGCGCACCTTATTTCAATGGATGTAAACAGAAAGCGGATGTAAATGTACTTTAGCAGACATTTTATACAACAGCGTATTAAAAGCTTAATACAGTCTTTAAAAAGGTCTAACGTTCGGTTGTAAAATAGAATTATAAATTTATTTATTGATAGTATTAAATACAACAAAGTTTAGCCCTAACTAAACTAAATAAAAAAACGTACACAAGTTACAGTGTTAATTTACCTCTTTATCGAATATAGGCTGTACATAATAAAGCTTAACTAATGTTAGGCCTAAGACAAGTAGACTTATAGATTTCGATGACTGCGAGTAGAATTATTTTATATTGTTCTATAAATCCTGTATTTAAAAAATCTCTGTTGCAATAAGGATACTAATTTGACCGCAAATGTTTTGCGGATCTCTACTAGTACTATATATTCACTTCGAATTGTAATCAGAAATCTGTTTATTTTATTAACTATTTACACTGTGATTGTCAAACTTGATTTGGGGAATTATAAAAAACAAAAGCCCAAGAACAAGCGCTGTAATCATTCCTTAGTTTTCGATGTATGATTTGTTTGTTTGTTTTTGAATTTCGCGCAAAGCTACACAAGGGCTATCTGCGCTAGCCGTCCCTAATTTAGCAGTG